GAGAATGTATTTAGAGCTAGGAGGAAGGACAGGACAAAAGCAAAAGTAAATTAGCAAGTTTTATGCACTGCACCATGTGCAATATGCTGGGTAGCTATTGTCCAGAGTATCTTCTTTTTAGAACATTCAGATATGATAATTCTATCTCAGTAACAATCAATAGTAGAGAGGTGACCAAAATTCATCATATTGTTTGTGTTAAGATAACTTTGTTGATTGATGTGCATGTTGTTGGTGGGTGGGTCTTTATTGACTGTAAAATGCAATGATCTATTTGGACAATGCCAAGTTGATTAAAGTCAGGGAATAGTAAAACAACTACATTATTTTTTAAAGGAAATTAGAAACATAATTGTGTTTCTAATTTCCTTTTTTAAAAAAATAATGTAGTTGTTTTACTATTCCCTGACTTTAATTTTTTGCTAGCCACCCAGAGTCACAATAGCAAGATACTAGTAGGACCGAGTTCCTTTATTAACTACAGAAGATAACTTTGCACCGAGCTTCAGTATCATTTCAAAGCACAGTATTAAACCCATAAATGATTCCATTTCCTACTAAACTTATTTATTTATTTGTCTATTATTTGCTACATTTTTAGGGTATTCTGATCTTCTTTCAAATATTGCAGGATTAGGATGAGTGCCACGCAGCCCTACTCTCAAGCTTAGATCTTGGAAGGGTAGTCACAATTCCTAATTATATTTCAGAATGGTATCTAGAAGCACAATTAGATTAATGCTTGGTTCCCTCAGGCAGCATAAATCTATTCAATGTATATAATATATCAGAAAAGAATTAAAATATATTAAGTTGCTACACTAAGGTCTAGTACATATAGTAAAACCAAAATATATCAATATGAACAAAGGGGTTAACTGAGTGAACTGAAAGCAGAACCAATCCAGATGATTTTCATTGAACTATGGTGCATCTCATTTTAAAAGTTTACCTCACAGCTATCAGTTTTGACTTATAGTTAGACTGCCTGAAAGAAATTGCATTATTTTTTTAAATTTCTGTCTTATGGCTAACTTCTTAGAAACTGCCATTCTGAAATAGTTATATAGTTTGAAAACCATTATTTATTTTTATCTGGAGAAGAAGGAAAATCAAATCCTTTCATTTTACAAAATAAAATTATTTATTTCGGCATCAGATGTGGTCGCACTTCACCTCAAGTTATGCCAAAACAATTTGTCATTAGAATAATAATATGGAATAGAAAGAAAGAGGCAAATAATAGCGCACAATCTATTAAAATTCAAATTAAAAAATAATTTGCAAGGGAGTGTTAGGGAGGAGAATAGAAATCGGTTGTCAAGGACATCCACACCTTCTTCCCTGCCTTCCAGCTTCTGGCAAGACGTCCTATTGTAGCAAAGTAGCTATGTCAATGCACAAAATAAAAATAGAAAGAAAAGACTCAAACCCAAAGACTGAGGTGTAAAAACCTTTGCTTTGTATTTGACAGCAAGCCAGAACCCCTGATGGGTGCCTTCTAACCTTTGGCATGACCTTTAGCTTTCTTCATTGTATAGAACTTCCATTGTGAGACATCCTTGTTGAAAGCAAGAAGATGATGTAAGCTTACTGAGCACAATTTTGGACAGTAATAGGAGAGACAATATCAAGAAGATGCTGAGATGCTTTGGAGCCTGAGTAATATTTGAAATCCAAGTATGGGTTATTGTTTCATGGAAACGAGGATTGCAAAGTATTTTGTAACCATCCAATCAATCATTATATTGCTCTACCATAACCAATGACAAACATTACAAAAAAGATGGTTATAATAAGTGATGGTAAATAATTCATTGTCAGGAACATTTCTTGGTCAACTAGCACATTTGCTAGTGACATTAAAATGACTACAACCCTTTTAAATATCCTAAAACCCTATGAAGTCTGTGTAAATCATGGTGCCATTTGAATAATGAGAACAAACATTTCTTGAATTTCTGAGATGGAAAAAATGAGACAAATCGTCAATTTGACTAACCTCTGTAGGCAGAATCACAGATGCTTTTGGAAAAATTGTCTTCTAAAATTGCTGATGAAGTCAAGCTAAAAAACTACAATCTGGTGAAGTTCTGCAGAGATTTATCTTGAGGGTAATATTATACAACATAATTATTATATATATTTGCTTATTTTATGATGGGTTGCTCATCAAATTTTAATATTATATGCAATTGGAAGTGTTCAAGATATCAGAATTAGATTGCAACCTAATAAAATATTAGGCTGATAACAAACAAGATATCTTGCCATAGATGTGCAGTATTACATTTAGGGAAGAAAACAAAACTTAGAAAACTACATCAGAGAAAGATTTGGATTGATCATTGACATCGAGCTAAATATGGGATATGATATGAAATAGGTTCTAGAAAGTTCCAATGCAGTTCTGGGCTGGATTCAAAGAACCACTGCCTCAAATATGTGTGATTCCTCCTACTTTGCATAGTGAGATCACATCTGTGCATCACACCTCAAAAATATTTAGACCAGAAAAAGGATAAGTGGATGACAAAGATTATACAAAAATTTGAGGACATGCCCTGTGAAGACAGGCTGAAGGAACTTGAGATGAGAATACATTCCCTTCCATAAAAATATACCATACAGAAAATAACCAGGTGTGACTTTTCCTTCCCACAGAACCTAAGATAATAAATAACAAGTACAGTTACAATTACCTAGCTTTTGTTTAAATATTAACAAAAAACTTCTGATGGTAAGATCTGTAGAACAGAGGTTGGATTCAAAGACTGTTAATTGGATTCCTGCACATTGTAAAGAGTTGATCTGGATAATCCTTTTGGTCCCTTTCAATTCCACCATGATTCTGTAGTCTACTGCAGTATCATCATTTGCAGAAAAATATAAAATCACTGAGCACGTCTAGAGGGCATCTCTTCTTTTTAAAAAATAGTAAATAATCTTACAGATGAAATTTTTCAAGCAGAATCTACTATCCCTTGGAAAGGAAGATAAATAATCTACCTCTCTCCTAATTTTTGCCAGTTACAGTAACTATTCCGATTGTCTATTGTGGCATTAGGATTCCCTATCAGAATTACTAACCTGCTATCCTTTTCAGAATGGTTAATCAAAGAGGATAACAATAACCAAAGAGTTATAAAATAAAACTAGGACTTGTCTTTTAATTTTTAATTCTAAAACTAAACTTAATCTTCACTTTTAATCTTTTGAAAGTAGTTTAAAAGTAAAAAATACATTTTTCCCAGGCTATTTTTTTTACAAATTTAAATAACCAAGTAAAGTAAGTAGGACTTTTACAAAAAAACAAAAACAAACACAAGCATAAGACTGAAGTTCCCCATTCATGTATAGATTGAATACATACGATTTGAACAAAATTAGAAAAGACTCCAAATTCATTGGATCTCTAAGCAAAACAAGAATATTCCCTACAATTTGTTCTCTAACCCAAGGGTCTCCAACCTTGGCCACTTGAAGCCTGGTGGACTTCAACTCCCAGAATTCCCCATGTTAACTTTCTATTGACGGAAGAATGTATGAGCAGAAAGACTGGCACTAAAAAAACGTGCATTAAAAATATACAATAGAAGATTCATGAGTATCATCAGGAGGAAACTCATTCTGGATTTCATAACATGGAACGATAATTTTACATCACTGAAGTTAATTTAATTGATAATAGGACTTAATGGGACAAACATTTTTTGATAACCCCCCCTCCAAAAAAAAAAAGCAGATAGGGTTTGCAACAATGGCTGAAGGATTAGGAGAAAATAGGAGAAGATGTGAAGTACATGTTAGTATTATATATTATAATATGTAGGGGTTCTTTTTTTACGTCATTTCATATTGTTTGGACACTTCAATCTCAAAGAAGTAATATAGGTGACAAGTTACTTGATCAAAATTCAGCAGGAAATGAAATGTGGCTCCTAGGACTATGCAAAATTATCAAGTGGGTTATTTTTCATTTCCCAGCAGCAATCATTCTCTTGAAAACATCATCCCTTTATGATAATAAAATACTTTAAAAAAAACCTCCATTATCACCCGTGGACATTATTTATGTTTATGTTTTGTTTCACATGGCTAATAAGATGGGGCTAGTCTATTTACTACTTTAAAGCCTTCATAATGGGAAAAGTTTTATTTGGTTTAGAATGTTCCCATTTTCCTGGCCTGGGAAAATGTACAGAATTTGAATGTAAGTTAGTGATGTCAAAGAAAGATAGTAAGACAGAGGGAAACCTCTATAAACCATAATCAGCCCATTGACTGCCGTTCCAATACTTGAAATGCATTTCTTGTTATCCAGGTTTGTAAGCAGTAGGTAATATGCCTACTTACAAAGGCCGTAAGCCACTGCTACTCAAACATCTCAAACTGCAATAAGCACACATGCAACGCATCCCACATGTCAGAATCACATAAAAAGAAACCAAAACCAATACCAAACCTGCTTTTTAACTTTCTATATCTCAACAGATTGTTAGACTAGCTTTGTGTGATCTGAACTGACTTTGCTAATAAACCACTTCTCTTTCCTTGGCCACTTTATAATAAACAACCTTATAACAAAAGTCAAGTTATCAGATATAGGCCTTTGTAGATAAACTTGGTGCTTTAAACTGATCTGCCTGGTTCTGGGGAGCCTTCTAAAAGAGTATTTGCCATATTTTATTTATTAGTTGATGTTTTCCCAAATCAGGCTATTGACAGAGGTGGCTCTACCCATAGTTCTACATACTCTAAGAAATATAATTTACATATATTTATTATATTTTTCTTATTAACATACATGGTCATGAAAGCAGTGACTTTTAGCAACTTGTTGAACAGCCAAAACAAACTTAGGTACCACATGCTTCAGGTTAAACATATTTAAATATGCTTTAAATTTAAGCATTACGTTTAAATATTTAAGCATTGAATTTAATATTTAATGATGATTGTGATGGTTAAAAACCACAATAACAATGATAATAGTATACCTGCAGGCTTTTCTGTGCTGCTGGCCATAGTGGTAGGAGGAACAACAGGAATCTCTGTGGGCAAAAAGAAAAAGCGGACAGAAAAAAAGAACAAACAAATGGGGAAATGTATTATTTACTTTTCTAGCTAAGGAATTGGGAAATTTTATACTACTACCAGATAGGTGACTGCAAAGATCATTATTTCATAGAGGTGACAAGATGACTGAACCACACAATGGTGGAGAAGCTAATACCTTAGCCCATAATTTGGAATTACCATCTACACAAAATTATATTCAGGAGAGGCTGCCACCTAGCTATCATAGCAAACAGTAGCAACACCTATGCTAATCTTGATATACACCCACAAATTCAGTAACTGAAAGCAATGCTCACATTTCTGGGAATCATATCTATTTCTAGGAATTTAAAAACAAAAACAAAAACCCCATTTGAGTCCTATCCATTCACATAATTTAGAGGTTCCATTACTGGAACTTTTCCCCCTGTTCATGGCAGATCTCAGAATATTCTAAATTGATGAGGAAGTGGCATTTCAGGGACTAATTGTGCTTTCATTCCCACTTTTCCATACAAATTCAGCAGTACTTAAAATAGCTGTCTTTCTGAAGAAAGAGATATGTTTAGCTATCATTTTATCAGTAAAGTTAATATCAGCATTCCGACATGAATGGAGAGATTGGGTTCATGTCCAATGGCTATAATTTTAACTTCTAGATGCTGATTATCTTTTACATAGTGAAATGATATGCATTTAAGATATTTTTTGCTTTTTGGTGAAGTATAGAGTTTATAGACAAACTGTATGCATCTGCAGCTTGTATTTTGTTTTTATTGAAAGAGCAATAAAATCCTATTCTCCAACTTTCTCCAAATGTTTCATATCTCATTTAGAATGAATAAAACAATAAGTAGAACTATACTATTTGTACAACCATTGGATGAACTAAACTAAATTTAGATTTGTAGTTAAAGATATGTTTAATTGACAAGGAGTGCCTATAACATTAATTGCTCCATTAGAGAGTTCACTATGTTAATCTTGTGCAGCTAAAAGCAATAAATCCTAAAGGGGAACAATAGTTTGAAATTCTTATTCCATTCTTTCCAGTAGCATTATTATACGAGTTTCCTACTCTCTGGAGCCAGAATTTTTTGTATTATTAATTCAGCTCTCAGATTCACAAATAACTTTATTAAAAAAGGTATATTGGTGATATTCTATCACTCATAAATGCTTATAGATATTTTCAGCAAGGTATGTCTGACAGAGGTGATAGTGAATTTAATCAATAGTATTCAAGGAGCATTTGACACTATTGTTTTTTTTCAATCAGGCAGTAGCCATGTCTGTTTAGCATCAGGAAAACAGTGGTATTACATACCTCCATCTGAACAACAGTAGAGGAATACATTTTGGGATACATTAATTCAGTTTATTAGAAATACATCTTAAGAATTTGTTTTGGGTCTCTAGCAAAGACTTGTTTCTTTCAACCATAATATTTTTTTTTTCTGTATTAGAGCCAAGGAAAGAAAGTATTGGCACAATATAAAAGTTTTCTGCTCCATTGTTCAAAGTTGCTATAAATGTAGCTTGGCTCTTTATAACAACATTTCTTAAAAATCAACACAGCCGAGTAAAACATTGCTAAGAATTACACCACAATAAATCTGATTACAGTAGCAGCAGTTGTGGGGACGGGGGACATTAACAAATGCTTTGATTATTCTACAGCAATTAGTATGCATGCAACACAATTAATAAGAACTACTTTTGGTTTTTTTTTAATATTTACCTAAATATAAAAGACAACACAATTCCCAAGGTTTTATCACAATATCCACTAGTAGTAAGGTGATCCTCATCAACTGGATGAAGCCATGTTGATAAAGAGATTAAAACCAGCTGGATCCTCAACCTCTCATACTGGAGTCAAGTGCACAAATAGGATTTGCTTCATTTCATGTTACTCCCAAGTGTGACACTTTGAAGCTAAGGTGGCATCTGTGGATTCTCCTCTCCTATCAGCTATCACTGTGTGCAGTAAATTGGGCTCAGAAACAGTAATAGCCCCAAAGTCACTCTGAGCTCCCACCTGGGAAAAGGCAACCCAATTCTCTGGAAACCTGACTTTCAGTTATATGGCATGACAGTCTAGAACAGAAACTGGCATCTTCATGTAGGTGAAGAGCGGGGTACAACTGGATTTTTCTTTGCAGGCTTTGTACCATGTAAACCGTGTACATGAAGGGAGGCCTTGGGCATCAGTGAGTTCTCTAAACTGAAAGAGGATATTCCCAAAAGACCTAATAGCTTCATCCATGGATGCATCTCTCTTGAAGTCACAGCTACCTCATAGCTAGTCATCAACTCCCCTCCATTTGTAAAATAGATCTGGAAATAACATCATTTGTTTACTAAAGTGATTATGTAAGCAAGTTAGGACAGATTCATTGTTTATATACATGTCAGTCAAGAAATAGGAGATTTCACAGAATTAGAATTGTATGCTACTATTATTTCTCTTTTACTAAATATCCATTAAGTTGAGAGATTGATGTGAAATATACCAGTGTAAATAGAATCCAATTTAAAAAGACCAAGTTGCATTAGCTTTATCATTCTATACTGCATAGGACTAGATTTTTAGGTTTCACAATTTACAATTTTTTTTTGTTTTCATAGAGTCCCTAACAAAGAGGGAAGCTGAACAGTCTAATATTTTTACTTGGATCGTACCTGAGGCATAAGTAACAATACAATAGTAGCAGGTTACAGTAAATAGACAAAACAAAAATACATATTTTGCCATTCAAATATCACATCTTAACCTTCAAACCTTTCATAGAAATGATCACTATTTTCTATTCAGATCACATAACTAACACACACACACACTATATATACATATATACATATACATATACATATACATACATACATACATACATACATA